CCACTGCTGGGCACGATCTATTTGCCAGGGATTATTTTAATTTTTGAAGTTTCATTGGAGCTTCAACCGAGGTTTTTCGGCCTATTACTATGTCGATTTGCCACTTGTAATTAGAATTAATTTAATATTACAAGACCTATATGTCAAAGGTTACCAGGTGCAGAGTAAAAAATCTCAGTGTAAATGGCTTTTTTAACTGATAATTCGTATTAAGTTAATTTTTGTGTATTTTAAAATTAATTACTTTTTAGATAATTTTAAGAGTATATTCTCTACTTCAAATATAATGTATTTAATAAAATAAATTTTATTTAAATATTTTTTTTCAAGATTTGAATTTTAAATCTATACTACAAGATAATATTTGTTCAATAACAGATTTAATTTGGAGATTCAAAATAATGGATATATATCCAACATGGTATAATTGGTTAAGGAAAATGATTTTAAGACAATTTTTTGCATCATTTTTTTGTATAATTTGACAGATCATTTAAATAATTGATTTTTTTTATTTATGTAGGACCCGCTCATTTAGTAACATGTGAAAATTGTATCAAAATATAATATAAAAAAATTATTCTTATAACACCACCCATTAACTAATAAAAATGTGACAGATATGCAAATTAATAATAGAGTGAGACGATTTATCTTTTACTTGAACAAGCTAAATTTATATGCATACTCATTTTTAATGATGTCAAATTATAATTAGCTGATGATATGACTGGCATGATATATACCTGTTAATGGAAGATCTTATTGGTCCTAAGACCTAAATAAATTATAATTAGATTTTTTTAATTTGGGCCCTTATAACATAGGTTAAAAATATTTTTTTACAATAAAATTATATAGAAAATATAAAAACAGATATTAATTTTAAAATCAATATCATGTAAATAAATTTAATTAAATAATTAATAACTTAAATATTACTTTTTTTAAAACTATTAGCACAGGTTAAAAAAACCCATTATAATTTAATTCAAACTCCTTGTGAAGTTCAATGGACTGGTGTTTTTCTCATAGGGAACAAGAAATTAAAATAGTTAAAATTGTAAGATTTTGCATTCCTAGACATTGCTTCGTCACTTCCTTCCATGCTTCTTAAAATCCTTCTATACAACTGTGCCAAAAGGGGTCGGGATCAAATTACAAAATTTCCAACCGAATTAAACCAAATTGAATTTTATTGTTTCGTAGTTTGATTGGTTTGATTTAGGGTTGAGATTAATGGAACAGAACATGTTTGGCTTATATTTCGGTTTGGTATTTTAATAAATCAAACCAAAGCAAAAATATGTGTATAATAATAAGAAGATCACTGCTAGCCGCACTCGACTGCAGCTAGCACTTTCTACAGTAACAAACATTTTGCTACTCGACTCGAGTGTTTGAGATGGAATTTTTTTTTTAACAATTTGACATGAAATAAAATCAGATTCACTTAAAAAAAAAGTGCACATATTTAATATGACTAATACCATTAAAATTGAAGAATCGTGTGTGTTTGAGGTGAATTCTTTAATTAAAGCTATGTAGAATTTCTAATTATTACTCCAACATAATAAAAGATCGAGAAGTCTGAATGAGACATGGTTCATGCTTTGAGAAAAGAGGAATGAAAATGACACTTGAAGGGTTCGAGAAACCACCATTAATGCATCGTATCATATCTGTTATTTTTTTGAGGTGTAATGGGCAGTGTTGAAACACTGATTAATTTAGATGCTTTAAGCCTACACATTCTTATTAAATTATTTTTAAGGGGATCGCAAATCAAGTCTGGAGGTTCTTCGAAGACATGAAGTCTATTCTCTAAATGGTAGAACCCCGACACCATGTAGTCCGCACAATAGTTTGCTCCCCGGAAGATATGCTGTATCTCACATCTTCAGTTCCGTTTCAACTTTCAAGTAATCCTTGCATTTTCACACCATGGTAGACAATGCATTACCCAATTCTTTATCCTCATTATTTTACCCATTTGCTACGGAACGTTTATTTACAGGGTTTTTTTTGGTTAATAAGAAAATAGGTTAATAATGTATTAATTGTAAATTTTTTTTTATTAATTTGTATTTTTTTATGTTAACTTCTTGGTATCTAAAAATCATATTGGTACTTAATTAATTTAGAGTCAAATTGGATCTTATAAAAAAAAAAAAAACTCTTTCAATACTAATTTCTTTATTTATAAGATTCGAACTTACAACTTTATTTAAGAAAAATTGAACAAATTTTATTTAGATTAATAAATCGTTAGTTTTTATTAATTTATATAAAAAATATAAAAACTAACTTATTTACAAATATGTGCATATTTTTAATTGAAAATTTGATAAAATTAAAATTTACTTATATTTTTTCATAACAATTAATGAGAAAAAGATGTAATAATATGTTTTTAAAATTCTTATTTTATTTGTTTTTATATAAATGTTTAATGCAATCGGGACAGTGTCGAACTACACTAAATCAATTTTTGGATGGAATAAGCTGACTTATATTGAGAACTATCCTATTATCTAAGGTTTTCTTTTTTGTAATTAAATGCAGTTTGGAACGTAGTAGAAAAATGAACTCTTATTTCTATTCAGCTATGATTTTTTGATACTTTAATTTGTTATTCATGCTTTTGATTAGGGAAGGAAATGGTTAATTGGTTCATTTTCTGCCTCTTTTAGTAACTAATAGATTACATTAAGGTATGTTCCCAATTCTATGCCTTGTCATGGCCCCTTCTGGACCACCTGCACATTGAAAATTTCTATTTTTTAAACACAATTTTATCGAAGGCATGAATCTACCAAAAATACGAAAGTACTTGTAGGGTACCATTTGGACAAGGCATGAACCCTGCAAATAATATGAAATTGCTAGAAGAGTCCTTTTAATAATAAAAATAAGTAAGATTGGTTTTTTTAATCCAATAGTTTATCCTCATATCATAATATTTGAGTTTAATTATTTAAGAATTTGACTCTTATTAATTATTTGAAAAAAAATTTCATTCTTCTATAATTCCTCATGTTAAAAAAAATAAAAATAAGTAATTTATTTTACTGTTAAATTATATTACATTGTAAAAAAATTTATTAAATAAAATAAAATTTCAATATCAAAAAATTATTTTTATTTAATGATTAATATATCATAATTAGTACAATCTAAATTATATTCTACTTTTTCAATAAAAATATGGATAAATATATACGGAGATCTCGCGTTGAAAATATGATTGGCATGTTAGTGTTCACTTGCATGTTAACAAATATGTCACATCTATCATCAAATGCTCAACGCCTTTCAAAAAAAACCATCGAATGCTCAAGAAAAAAGAAACCAAAACCAACATCAACTTTCATGTTTTCTATTAGAAATGAGAGATTAATAGCACATTGGGCCTACATATCATACCGCTCCAGAGTTGCTCAACTACCATCATTAGAATGCATCAAATCATATTAATACGATTCATTAATCATAATGCTCCAAAGTTAGTTTAGCTACCATGACAGGTCACTTGTTTTTTTGCCAGTAACTTGAGCATAATACTATTCTTCTCCTATATTATAAAAATTTTAAATTGAAGTTGTATGATATATCGATTTGATAGGAAACGAAAGTGAAATTACATTTTTTTACGACATTTTCTCTGCCTTTTGATTTCTCGTTTCTCTTTCATAAATTCACATTTCACAATTCACAGCATACAAGGCCAAATTATTTGCCGGATCAAGAAACGAACTCAATTGGAGTTGCTGGCGTGGCGTGCTGCTTGGAATCATATGTCCCACTGGTATGCCTGTTTGCAATGCTGCTGGACGCAGATTTTAATTTCTTTGCGGTGTTATTCTACCCACGAGGCCTCTAGCAAAAACTTAATACAGTTTACACCGTCTAGATCTATTATGAGCATTCAAACACCATTAGACGTGTTTAATGACATTTAAAACTCTTAGGTAAAGTTTTCTCTTTTATTTTATTTTAATGAAATAATATCGCTTAATTTATTATAAAAAATATATTAAAAACATTTTAAATATTGAATAGTTCTTTTAATTTTTACTTTTCATGTATAATAATAGATAGAAAAATATTTAATTTTTTTTATTTTATAATTTTTAAAATTGTTTTACATTTTTTTCTTTAAATTATATCCGAATAAATTATTTTTAAAAAATCACTTAGACATTCTAAACTTTAAGCAATGGCACTACCCACCAACGCCTAACTCTTTCTGCATCCTTGCAGCCAGTACTTATAATACCAGCAGGTACGAGCGAGATTGAAGCGAGTACGATATTAAAGCCTATTCGGTGAAGTTTATTAAGATTTTTATTTTTTATTTTTATTATTTATGAGTGATAAATTTAAATTTTTATTTAAAAAAATTTAAAAATTATTTTTAAAAATTTTAAAAATTAAATAAAAAATAAGTAAAAAATAAGTTTATAAAAAGTAAAAATTTGAAATTTTTTAAAATTTATTGTTTAAAATCTTTTTAAAATTAAAAAAATTAAAAAAAATAAATTTTTTAAAAAAAAATTAAACTTATGAAATGAATAATATCAAAAAAATTAAAATTATTACAAATTTCACCAAACATTCTCTAAGTGTATATTATATTGATTTTGTGTCAAATATGGTACATACCGACGTTCACATCCCTTCGTAAAATGGTAGCCCAGCTTATTGTGTAACCTTAAAACTAAAAATAACACAACACAAAAAGCAAAGAAGCTGAGACTAATCCAAATTTCGTAAACCAGAGGACATGCCATTTTACGCTACAACCGGAGTGGTGAAAACCAAACGAAATAATCACTTTAATTTTAATTAGAACACTTGCCAATTTGCTCAACAACACACAATAAAAGAAAGCTTGAGAATAACAGAGCTGTCGGCCGAATAAAAGAGAATAACACAGATCCGTGAGGGTGCATGCTTAACCAGGGGCACTAACAAACACATTCTGGCATTGATTGGGGAGAAACAGCGAGACTTTATAAATGATATAAGTTGATGTTTCGAATTACCATTATCAACACACAACAGAATGAAGATATTTGTTTCTCCTTTAAACTAAGGGTAAGTTATGGACCTCTTTAGTCCATTTTAGGATTGACGTGACAGAATGTGCATTAATGCATAGAACGGAATAGCCAAACTATAAGGATAGGAAGGGGCTTCCCTCACACACACCAAAGCCCATTTACCCCACGGCATACTTCTGGATCCAGCTCCTTGCAGTTGTCTCATATTTGTTCCTATCTGTCTTGTACATGTGAGCAATCTCCGGCACCAATGGATCATCAGGATTTGGATCTGTCAGTAATGAACAGACTGACAGCAATACCTATACGTGAAGACAGAACAATATTATGCAAAGCCAATTCAAAAATATTAAGAAACAAGTTCATGGTTAATAATCCAATCTCAAATATAGTAAAGAAAAATAAAAACCAACAGTATTATTCATTCAAATGAAATGAACATGGTCAAAATTCATGCACACTGAATAGAGAGTTGCGAATAAGAAAACCAGTTGGCTAAAGAACAAGAACCTTAGAAATTGTTAGTGCAGGACTCCACTGCTCCATCAAAATGTCCAAGCAAATGCTCCCATTGGACATTGCTGTTTATATTTGGGTGGAATACCTTTGTTCTAAATGCCACCTGCAATAGATAACATACAGTATAAAGCACTTTTTAACTTATTTACCCCGACAAGTATCATCTAGATACCTATGTCCTGTAAATGATTCTATGATAAAGCATTTCTGGGGATTGTGCCATAAACGATTCTATGATACCAATTTGAGGATTTTCTTGGAATGTCAAAGACTTAATAGACATTTTCAAGTTTCAGATACATTCTTAATAATTTTTTTCCTTGAGCAGATATATATTCTTAGAGTTGCTTCCAGCGTTTTATGGCACAATTGGACATGCATCTAGGTATTAAAAGAAGTACTCTAGCAAGAAGCAATAGAAATGACTGCTTCGTTAACGAACCTCTCACTTCACAAGGGCATAATACAATGCAGGCAGCTTCCACCAAGAAATGGAAATTTGTCAGCCACAAATGAAAACTTCTTTCTACTAAAACTACAAACCATAATTTGCCTTAGTACTGAAAAGGAGAAGGACCATGGGAGAAACAAAAGGGACCAATTCATATCAACAAAATACAAACAACATAGTGCATGCTACAATAATGGTCTTTTCCCCTTTATATAGTGGATACAGCCAGAGACAGAACATAAAGGAGGTTTGAGGGGGCATGCCCAAAAAATTTTCAAAACCCTTAAATTTTAATGGCCATTTTATTCACTTTCCCCTCAGAATTTTTTTCAATTAATGGGCCCCCCACAAGAATTTTTGGCCCTTCCTAAAAATTTTTGTCAAGTTCTGTCCCTGAACATAGCAGCACAATGACAAATCCAAAAGTTCAGTATAGGCCTATGATGCTGAAGGAGAAACCCTTACATCATAGGGTTCAGTATAGGCCTATGATCCTGCCGAGGGAACAATACGAGTCAAGCTAAAACTTCTGTTAGCGCTGAGATGTCATTAGGATAAACTACAAGTTACACTAGGAATAAAAAAATGGGTCTATAGAACAAAAGTGAACAAATACTTGGGGCCTGGGCACAGAACCATGAAATTATATTATTACTATTATTATAATTATTCCAAGGAACTATGGTTAATATTTCAAGCTGAAAACAAGAAATCCTAGTTCTGCTGATGGACCACAAATGAAGAAAGTCTAAATCAGAGAGTAACGGAGTATATGAGCCACTGTACTAAACATAAGCTATGAAAGAAAATTACCTTGGGAGGCTTAAATGGATAATCTGGAGGAAAATGAATAGTGACAAGAAAAACACCCCCAGCCTAAGGACTGTCTGCAGGACCCATAATTGTTGCCTGCCAATGGAACATGTCTTCGGCAACAGGACCTGCAAATTTCCAGAAAAGTACATGCATAAACAACCAAAGAAAATTCATCATATAAAAGATCAGATTATAGCATAGACCGGACTCATAACATGCATGTAATGACTAACTTGAGTTGACACCATTCAGAGAAAAACGGATTGGAAGAAAATGGGCTTGAATTTCATAATAAAATTCTATTCCATAACCATCATCAAGCAGGCTTGTTAGCTTTTTGTCTCAAATGAAACATGAGTCAGAATGCAGAACAAGACAGAATTACGAATCTAACAAGAAATTTTGACATACAAAACCAGGCATAAGTTCTGGAACGAATAAAGGTGACGTTTTAACAATAATAAAGAGAAACTTGCTCCACAGAAACTTATATCATTCCTTATTATTAAAAACTCCTGATATAGCATACCACAAAATCATGAATATGCAAATAACATGAAAAAATATCAATGCCAAGCACAGTAACCTTGCCACTGCCACAAGGTCAACTAGGCTATGTTTACCAGCTGTCTCCACAACAAAATGTAACTGGTCATTTAACCAGCTTTAAAGTATTTTAATTAGATGGCTACCACATACTATAAGAAGAGTTTTCTTTCTTCAATAGTTCAATGTACAGTACATTTCCAACTTTGCAATTATGCAAGAATACAATCTTTGTTCAATTGAACTTCCCGATGTCAGGAACCACAGAAACAAAATCAACATGGAATGCTTTTGTCAAATCCACACCAAAGTAACTTCATCCCTGCTTCCTTGACCTTAACTTGAACCTAATAAATCAAGCCTTCAAGCCTACATGGCCAATGATTGGATGATATTCTTACCCTCTAAGCACCAGCAATCCAACCCAACCCCATCCCTCCTAAGTAAAAAGTTAAAAAATAGGTTGACAAAGAAAGAAAAGATCCTGCAGTTGCAAGACACCTCCAAAAGATTATTAACTAAAACCCGAAAACCGAATAGGGCCTCCAGATCAACCGAACAGAGGCCCAATTTTTATGCTCAAAAGATTTGTGGCCCAAAAGATTTAATACATGTAAAAAAAATCAAAAATAAAAAAAGAGAAGACATAAAACACTAAGCCTATATTTGGACATAAATTAGTAAAGGAAAGGAAGGGAAAGGGAAGGAAAGGAGAAGAGAAGCGAAGGAAAGAAAAAAATTGATGTTAGTTTTGTTTGAATAAATAAAAGAGAACGAGGGAAAATGTAGCGAAGCTGAGGACTAATCTCATGAAGGAGCAGCTCGCCACTTTCCGCTCCCAGCTTGAAGAATTCGCCCGAAAACACAGGGTCACTTTCTAACTTTTCTTCTACTTGAAATATATATATATATATATATATATATATATGCTTACGAATTATGACATACAACGATCCTATGAGAGGGAAAATGTAGCGAAGCTGAGGACTAATCTCATGAAGGAGCAGCTCGCCACTTTCCGCTCCCAGCTTGAAGAATTCGCCCGAAAACACAGGGTCACTTTCTAACTTTTCTTCTACTTGAAATATATATATATATATATATATATATATGCTTACGAATTATGACATACAACGATCCTATGAGAAAATATTGAAATTTGATGAAAATTGAGCTAATTTTAGAACAGGGTATGTTATACTTTAGGCATTTGATTCATTAAACTTTGAAAACATTGAAAGTTGTATTTTTAAATCTGTACTAAATAAAAGTTGGTATGTTGAACTTAGTGATATTTGGATTTTAAGTTTGGTATCTTAACTATAAGATGAACGGGTTGATAATATTGATGGGCATTACATAAATTCAACGTTGGATTATTTTGCTTGTGTTGGGAAGATGTGATGTTGGGTTGAAGATTTATGTGGGTTGATACAGAATGACATTCGCAAGAACCCAGCATTCAGGTCACAGTTCCATGAGATGTGTGCTAAAGTGGGAGTGGACCCTTTGGCCTCAAATAAGGGTTTATGGGCAGAGCTGTTAGGGATTGGTGACTTCTATTACGAACTTGGTAGGTTAAATATTTCATTTTAATATACATTTTTCAAGTTTTGGTTTGTAGTGTAAGATGGTTATCTTTCAGCTGTACTCTATGAAGGGAGAAGAGGCATGTGTATTGTGAATGCCTTGCCTACATGAATTATCAAGTTTATTTTTACCCATTACTCTTTTTGTTGCCAACTATTAATTAATATGATGCTTTTAAAAGGCTGCAATGTTTATGCACTTAGTTGCATGATACTATGTTGTCTTCTGAGGTGCTCCATTTGAGTTGTACTTTAATTTTAGATCAGTCTTTAGGTGGTTTTTTTTATGTACCTGCAAAGGTCTCCACATTTTTAACATGCTATATTGGTTTATAAAGCCTGTAAATTTTCCATTGAAGAATAGGTGCCCATTCTTCCACCAAATTTTATCTTATCAATGAAAGGCATTTGCATGAAGCCTTTGTAGAATGCTAATATTGAAATTTTGCCACTTGGGTAAACAGGGGTGCAAATTGTTGAGATTTGCTTAGCAACTAGGCCTCACAATGGAGGCTTGATCAACTTACAGGAATTGTGCAATCTACTTCGTCAGAAACGAAAGCATGATCGTGAAGCTGTGTCTGAGGATGATTGCTTGCGAGCTATAAGTAAGCTAAAGGTATTGCATTGAAGTTACTCTATATTTGTATCACATTGATACTACCTTTACCTTGGTTTTGGAAATTGACATGTTATAGGATTCTTCAAGAAATGCCTATGGTACAGGCATTGAGATTGATGAGATATGTTCTATTAGTTCTGTTTCTGTTATTCTTTTATGCTTCTAATGCCTTCGATAATACAAAGTAAATTAATTATAACACGATGAAAGGATGAAACAAGTTCTCAGTTTAAGATTCTATGATATCATAAGCATTGAAAACACTTTTTTTTGGGATTTCTCAATCAGTCATCCTCTGATGCTGTTTTCTTTCTGTTGTTTTTTCCTCTCATATTGAATAGAGTAGGCAATTTGTTACTGTAGTTGACACATATTTTGTGCTAATTTACTAGCAGTGGACATTACATTTAGAATTTAGTATTAGATAGGTTGCATTTGAGCATGTGTTAAACTGCTGTCCTAATTATGGTAAATCCAATTTTCAAGGTAATGGGCAGTGGGTTTGAGGTGATTACTGCTGGAAAGAAGAAACTTGTTAGATCTGTTCCAACTGAATTGAAGAAAGACCACAATGAAATTTTGGAGCTGGCTCAGGTTTGTCCTATTTCAGTTTTAGATCATTCATGAAATACTTCCAAATGAAACTTCTATTTTGTCTTCCTTATGATCTTGCTATCAATAGCAAATTGAATAGCTCATGTCACATTCAGTAAAGTGAGGTTTAGAATATGGTGAAAACAACTTCTATCTGTATAGTGTGAGTAAATGGAACTTCATCCATCTAGAAGTGTCACTTTTTTTGCATTTGAAAAAGAAAAGCCTAATTTTTCTTATTCCTGCCTTGGTTAATCATACATTCTGTTCAATGTGGGGAATGCCTATGGCTTGAATTATATCTATCAGGTAGAAGTATAAAACTCAAATTATGGCTCTGCAACCTGTTTCTAGTGTAAATAATGATTGTCTAATAAGTGTTCCACTTCCACTCTCTTAGGCCCAGGGCTTTGTAGCAGTCGATGAGGTAGAACGACGACTTTCCTGGACTCTTGGTCGTGCGATTGATGCCCTTGATACTTTATTAGATGTAAGTTCTTGCAAACACTTCATTTTGAACAATTAATAGAGATTGGATCTATGTGCCTCATAAGCCTTGTTGGATGATGCAGGAAGGTCTTGCAATGATTGATGATGGCCACGAAGATGGTAAACGCCGTTATTGGTTCCCTTGTGTATCTTCCATATCCTCAGTAGGCGCTGATAGTTAACATTAATTCTTCTGTGATACGATATTATCATTGTTTTCTACAACTGTTTGATGAGAACAGAACAACATAAAGACATGGGAAATTTTAATTAATTTCTCCTGGTTTAACTTTGATATGTTTGAATGTTGGTGGGCAATAAATGTATATTCATCTTTTTGGCACCAAGAAAAGCTAAGGAAAGCAATTCATTTATCTGAGCATTACTTTAGACAGACAAATCATTGGAATATGTTTGTACTTTTAAATGTTGGCCCGTGATTGGGAAAGAAAAGAAAGAATTTAGCAAGAGTGGAAACAATCATTGCACTGCAACCTGAGATGCAGTTTCGGTGTCTTCAGTCCATTCAGCGCTGGGTTCACTCCAAGATCGGGGTCTAACGCCCAGCTTGAAAAACAGAACCATCTCCAGCGCCTCAAAAACCTTGTGTTGATCCAAGAGCTGATTCCAAACTCCACTGACTAAACACTAGTTATTGTTATAAGGTGGCCGGTCGTGGGCAGAATGTTGTGACCGTGAGACAAGTACCGCAACGTCCTGCAGAGCCACAACAAGTGGAGGAAGCTTCCCCTTGGTGCCATGAGCCCAAGCGTGAAACTGCTGGCTGAACATGATGCAACCCAAGCACAAGGCAACAAACCCGTGAATGATAGGATTATTGCAGAGAAGGTCTGTAGGAAGCACTGAAAAAGTTAGGGCACGAACCAGGGCATGTAGATTGTTGGCAAACTGGCGCCTAGTGATTGTCCAGGGCCACTTATGGTGCCCCCGAAATGTTTCAATCTGAGCACCAAAAACTGGAGTTGAAGCATCCCCATAATTGTCAATGCCCCAGTGGTAAACACCAGACCCAAGGTCAGCTCGGACATAGCCAACATACCCTGCCAACACAGGTTCAAGCTACACATGTGAACAGGCTGCGCCCACTATTGCTTTAGCTAGGGAAAACATCACTGTAGTGCACCCACTTGCCAACCATACCCGGTGAGACAATGTCGACTGCAAACTTGGATCATTGAGCAAGGGAGGGGAAGCTGGTGAAACCAACTGATCAGGAGACATCTCAATCCGTGGTTCAACAACCAGTTGGCTCTGGTTGAGCCTAGGCTTGGTGGTGGCTGAACATGTTACACGCAGTACGTCAACAGGGCAGCAGCGGGGGCACGAGTGGATATGGTTTAAAGACCTTAATGGGTACTTGTGTTGAGGGAAGACAGACATTTTGAATGGCCCCTAAGAGAAAGCAATTTTGATTTCTGAATGCAAAGCAATATATCAAAGAAAAACAATGGCTATAGTCTTGAAAAGAGTTTGTGGTTCTGTGGTAACTATAGAGATGACGTGGGACAGGAAAACGCTAGACCCTTCTTCAAGTGAGTTTTTTTCCTCATACACATAAAAGCTATTTGGTTTGGGATTTTCATGGAAAATTTTTTTGCCAAGAAGGAAGGTCTTTACTGTCTTAGAACACAAGTGGTCCAGCCGTCCAGGCCCAGCTTTTAGTGGAGAATTCCTCCTCAAACTTGGGCTAAAGAATGTGAAGTTTCCAGGGACAGGATACGGTGATTGTAACAGAATATGGATCTTATTGTCCTTAAGCATCTAACTATGAGATTCCATTTCTTTATAAATAGGGAGCTAAAGAAGCAT